GCCTCTCTCTGCCCCTCCTCTCCTCCTACTCTCTCTCTGTCTCTTTATCTCTGTCTCTCTATCTCTGTCTCTGTCTCTCTCTCTCTCAAAAATAAACATTAAAGAGTTGGATGCTTAACCAGCTGAGCCACCCAGGTGCCCCTGAAGTCAGCTTTCTACTCTGTCAAGGGTTTTAAGAACAGAAGTTCTTAAAATTTAATTTAATTTTAATTTTCTTGATTTTATCCATCCTTCCCTCTATGGGAAGGTTTATGTTCTTTTTTTTCCCGTTTGTGTCTTATTTAGAAAAATCATTCCCTATTCCAGTGTCAGGAGATATTCTCTATGTTGTCTTCCAAGTGTGTTATAGTTTTGCCTTTTACATGTAAGTATTTGAATCTACCTCGAGTTGCTTTTTACATGTGGTGCAATAGGGATTTAATTCCAGTTTTTCCATCTATACCTACAAGTGTCCCAGTGACACGTATTGAACGGTCTGTCTGCTTCACAGTAATCTGCCGTGCCGAGTCTGTGAAAAATGAAGTTTCCAAATATGCTTCGGTTTGTTTCTGGGCTCTCTCTGTGCCAATACCATACTGTCTCGATTACCGTAGCTTTATAATATGTTTTCCTGTCTGGCAGAGAAAGTCTTCTGTTCTTCAGGATGGTCTTGACTCTTCTTAGGATGTTTGCTTGTTTGTTCGTTCGTGTTTTTGGTATCCATTTTTATCAGCTTGTGACAGTTGGTGAAATGGTTGGGTTTTTGACCAGAATCGCATTGAGTCTCTAGATCTATCTGGGATAGCTGAAGAATAAATACATGAAGGTTAAACTAAAGGACATCAAAGACAAGAAGATCTCCAAAGCAACCCGGGGTAGGAAAAGATCACCTACTAAGGAACAGTGAATAGACGAATTAATTACCTTTTAACGGTAAAAATGGAAGCCAGAAGACTGTGGGAGGATGTTTCCAATGTGCTGACAGAAAAGCAATAATCAACCTGGAATTGATATCCAGTTAAACTCTTTTAAGAATGAAAGCAAGAGGGGCGCCTGGGTGGCGCAGTCGATTAAGCGTCCGACTTCAGCCAGGTCACGATCTCGCGGTCCGTGAGTTCGAGCCCCGCGTCAGGCTCTGGGCTGATGGCTCAGAGCCTGGAGCCTGTTTCCGATTCTGTGTCTCCCTCTCTCTCTGCCCCTCCCCGGTTCATGCTCTGTCTCTCTGTCCCAAAAATAAATAAACGTTGAAAAAAAAAAAAAAGAATGAAAGCAAGATAACAAAAATTTCAAACAAATGAAAACGGAGACTATCACGAAAGGAAAGTTTTAAGAGCTATACTTCAAGCAGAAGGAAAATGGCCATAGACGCTAGGTATGTTCTTCCAGGAGGAAGATCAAGAACTCTGGGGTTGAGGGAACTCTTCCGGGGGGGACAATTTGCTGACTTCTCTGATGTCTGCCTTTTACTTCTTTTGGGGATCTGTAGATTCTTACTTTCATGCCCACTCAGTGATGTGTTTTAACGTTTATTTATTTTTGAGACAGAGAGAGACAGAGCATGAACGGGGGAGGGGCAGAGAGAGAGGGAGACACAGAATCGGAAGCAGGCTCCAGGTTCTGAGCCATCAGCCCAGAGCCTGACGCGGGGCTCGAACTCGCAGACCGTGAGATCGTGACCTGAGCTGAAGTCGGACGCTTAACCGACTGAGCCACCCAGGCGCCCCTCAGTGATGTGTTTTAAAAGTTATTAAAAATATTTCATCGTATCCAGAATTTTAGTGGATAAAATGTTTCATGGAGGCAGGGTTGTTTGGGTGTCTAAACCACCCACTCACGGGAGGTAAAAGTCCTCCAACAAAACTTCTTTGAGGAAACTCTCCCTGTCTCAGCCTGTGCGGAGTCCTTGTTATCTGTCCTCATGGTAGATTGTATTTTCGCCTTAGAGCACATACGCCAGCTATATTTTTACAATTATTTATATGCTCTTTAAACTAATTGTCTACTCACCCCATTAGAAATCTAAGGTCCAGGTCTGTATTGTTCTCGGTTTTATTCCCATACTTTATTCCTAGTAAGCAAGTGCCTGGCACATTATAGATATGCAGTAGACACTTATTGAGTAAATGATTTGATGAATGATTATTTTTTGGTTAGAAGCCAATATTAGGTATTAAGTCAAGCCCCGCTGTGTGTCTCTGCTTCATATCCAGCCATTGAAGGCCCTGCTTTAGGGCTAATGAATTCCCATAGAACTGTGCCGTGTAATATGATAGCCATCAGCCACCGTGGTATTTAAATCAGTGAAATGAATTAAAATGAAATAAAATAAAAAATTCAATTCCTTAGTCTCACTGGCCACATCTCGAGTGGCTAGTGGCTATCCTATTGGATGGCACAGACACGGAACATTTCCATTATCACAGAAAGTTCTACTGGAAATTCTCAAGAATTCTGAAGTGCTCTTCTCTCTTCCTCTCTTTCTTTTGCTCTTGCTCTCTCTCTCTCTCTCCCTCTCTCTCTCTCTCTCATCCCACCCCTAAACCAAATACAGGGATAGTTGTCTTATTATTAGTGACTTAAATGATGCTTTTGAGCGAGAAGATGCTGGGTACTTTTGGTGCCTAGCACCATCCCGCTTTTTTCTTTTAAATTCCTGAGCTGTTGTTTACTAGGACGTTCTTTTATTCCTGTTTCTACTAAAGCTGAATGTTACTTGGGTGGAAAGCCTAATTGCTTTCTTTTCTAGGTCCTTAAACCCTTTGTTAATGTTTCTGTCTGAGAGTTCCCAAAGCCAGGGTTCTAGGAGAGTTTGGCATGTCTGAACAACTGAACAACTGAATAATGGAGTAGGTCCGGCGGGGTGTGGGAGCAGGGCATTCTGTCAATAAAAGAGCTCCCCTCTCTGCACACATGGCCAGTTAATTGGCCATTCTGGGAAAGTATGGATGGGGAGGGGGGCTTCTGAGAATCGCCGGTGACAGTTAAGTGGCCTTTTGTTGACGTCCTCTGCTGAACAACTTTGTTGGATTTAGTCTCTGCCTTTCCCCCCCCCCCCGCCTCCTGTGGATTTTCTGTTAGATTCATCATTTACCATTCACGCATCATCTTTCACTCTCTCCTTCCAATATGACTGCTTTGTGTGCTGGCCTCCGCTTTATTCCTGCTATTCCCAGCCCATAAAGGGGGCTGTGTGGGCCTTCAGCAGGACTGAGAAATTGACTCTGCTGTCTGTTGAGAACTATAATGATTGCAGTGACCTTCATGTCTGGCAGAAAATCCACTACCTGTGCCGGCATAATGGCGGCCAGCTGAACATAGAGAAAAGGGAGTCTTCACCGAATTCCTTCTCGTGCTATATGTATTTCCTTTGTTCCCCTCTCTGTTCCCTTCTGTCCCCCTTCTCCCCACTGCAACTGGAGTGCTGACCTAAGATGCAGCTGTGACTAAGAGTTAATGCTTGGAAATAATAATACATTCTATTTTGCAGGCTTTGCCAAGCCAGTTCACCCACGTTGTCTCATCTAATATTCCCCCCAACCCCTGTGAGGTAGGGAGGGGAGGTATTATTAACCCCATTTACTGATGAGTAAACTGAGACTTAGAGAGATTAGGGCAGTTGCCCAAGGTCTTTTAGACAGGAAGTGAGCCCATGGTCCCTGTCTCTAAACCCAGCGATCTTTCAATGGCGTCCACACCCTTATGCGGAAGGAGGACGTGGCCCAGGGGAAGCGTGAGCGGATGGGGAGGGAGAAGGAGAGCAAAAGAAAAGAATTAAATGAGGAGGGAGGAACGGAGTGGTTTCCTGGGGCCTTCCAGCTACTCTTCTCTTTCTCCGGAGAAGGAGGACTTGATGTTCACCAGAGGCTGGCCCAGCAAACCTCCAGGGAGGAAGGAAAGCCAAGAGCCTCGTCTTCCTCTTTTCCTCTTTCCTCTTGCCAGGAGAGGATTTGCCTAGCCGTGGGGAGGGGTGGCCCTAGCTCTGTCAAGGCCCTGCGTGTGGGAGCCACATGCTGGGTCTCCCCCAGAGAGAACCTAACGCCCTTCTCAGGCCGGGCCTGCCGGCCTTTAGGTGCTGTCCTGTCCCGAGGCTTCGGCCATGCCTGCGCACGAAGAAATGGCTTGAAGCTCGCCTGAAGGAAGAAGCATGCAGGGGACCCCTGGAGGAGGCGTGGGCCCTGGGCTGTCCCCTGTGGACCGGTGGACGCTCCTGGTCTTCAGCTTTATTCTGGCAGCAGCTTTGGGCCAAATGAATTTCACAGGGTGAGTGGCTGCTCCATAGTGGGAGGAAGGGCTGCTGAGAGCTTGGGGACCAGGTGTGCCAGCAGGGAGGAGGCTGTCTTCCTGGGACCTGGTCAGAGTAGAGGGAGTTGGGACTTCACTTCCCATTCAGGTCCATAATCTCCCACTCTCACACTCAAGGGTGGGACAAGCAGCTGTCTTACTGTCCTTCCCCACAAGAGTTCTTTCTTCTTCTTCTTCTTCTTCTTCTTCTTCTTCTAAGTTTATTTATTTATTTTGAGAGAGAGAGCACGAGTGGGGCAGGGGCAGAGAGAGGAAAGGACAGAGGGAGAATCCCAAGCGGGCTCTGCACTGAGAGCCTGATGATCCGGGGCTCGAACTCATGAACCAGGAGATCATGACCTGAGCAGAAGTCAGACCCAGTTTACCCCCCCCCCCCCCCCCCCCCCCCCCACACATGAGTTCTTAATCTTACAGCCCATGGGGGAATAGAGCCCAATGATTCCCCTGATTCTTGCTTATATGTAAAATTGTTTATCTATTTTTTTTCCTGGGGGGATGGTTTCCTCTGATTTTGAAAAACTTTTTTGAATGTTTATTTATTTATTTTTATTAAAAAAATTTTTTTAAAGTTTATTTATTTTTGACACAGAGAGAAGTCATGCAGACATGAGCTAGGAGGCAGAGAGAGACTGGAGACACGGCTCGGCGGCCCGGCTCCGAGGCTGTCAGGCAGAGGAGGCCCGGCGAGAACAAGAACCCACAAACTTCTTGAGATCATGACCTGGGCTGAGTGGATGTAACGGCTGAGCCGTCCAGAAGCCCTGAATGTTTTGCGTGCATTATTTTGAGAGGAAGAGAGAGGCAGAGCGTGAGTGGGGCAGGGGCAGAGAGACCTGGGAGTCAGGAAGCATTTAGGATCCCAGCTGTCAGCACAGAGCCCGACATGGGGCTCGAACTCATGAGCTGTAAGATCATGATCTGAGCTGAAGTCAGATGCCCGACCGACTGAGCCACCCAAGTGCCCCTGGTTTTCTCTGATTCTTAAAGACGTTAGTAACCCCCAGAAGACTCTGTATCCGTACCATATGGATATAGTATTGTCCTCCTTTGAATACGAATAAGCATTAGGATTTTACCCCAGGCCCTCTAGGGACATGTTACTCAGCTTCCCAGACGTCACCTAATGGAATGACCCCAAAGTATCCCCATAGTGGTGATTAGAGGGGGTTGGGGGGGGCGGGGTTCATCCTCCCTGATATCCAAGCCAGTCAGGGAGGGAGTCAGCGGCATCCCAGGTGGTGAACACCGGAGGTCACGCGCACAGCCTCTCGCGGCCTCTCCACCGGGATGGGAAGGGCTCAGCTTCCTCTCCTATGTTAGCGTGAGGTTCATCTCCCCTTCCATGTCCTCAAGCTCTTGAGAGAAGGCTGGAAGGGGCACAGGGTTTGGACAGACCATGGCCTTTGGCCCTTGTACGAAGAGCACTCGGGGCCACTGTTGGTCTCCCCTGCCCTCTGTATCTATTCTTTTCTCCCCTTCATTCCTTTGGTTTCCCAGGCCTCCTCCATTCTCCCATATTCCTGTCCCATACTTCCTCCCCTGTCTTGCTGCTGGGTTCATCACTAGTTGTGACGGGCTTTATTTAGTGGCTCGGGTGGTCTGTCCTTGGTCTGGAGCGACCGCTGTCTCATGCTGAAGGACTCGCGTGCTTCCCAGAGTGGCACGTCCTTCTGCTCAGTCTCCTTCAGCCTCCCAGCCTTCCTGCCGGGTCCCCTCAGCCTGGTCCTCAGGGTCCCCTAGCCCAGCCTTCCAGGGAACCGGCTCAGCATCTCCCTCCACCCTCCCTGTGTCTTTCCAGAGACCAGGTTCTTCGAGTCCTGGCTAAAAATGAGAAGCAGCTTTCACTTCTCAGGGATCTGGAGGGCCTGAAGCCCCAGAAGGTGAGGACTCCTCAGGGCTGGGGAGCATGTTCTCCACTTTCTTACAGTGGCCTGCATCTTCAGCCCCCTGTCCTGCTTCCCGAGCCCCAAACCTGCCCCTATCATATCTGCCAAAGATCACAACACCGTGGAAAATCACATGTGGGATCTTCTTCAGGAAAGGTTGGGAACACTCGCCCGGAAAGTTGGGTGGCCTTTCTTGGCCTTCTCCTCTGTCCTAGATGGGGAGCTGCCGAGCAGACCCTGTCAGGGGCCACCTCACAAATGACTGGAGTGTCCGGAAGCCACCCGGGGAGTACATATGTCTCTGGGTGGGATGCCATGTAGTATGCAGACTGGACACGTCGGTTTCCCCCACTGAAACGGCTCCGCTTGGCGAACCTGTGTTTTATTTGGGTTCGTCCCTGTCAGCCTGAGCATTTGTTTCCGAGAACGTTTGTCCTCTGCAAGTATTCCACAATGGAAAACATTTTCTTCAACAGTTACAATAGAAGGGTTTTGTTTCAGGGCTGCTGAAGCAACCAGGTATCCTGTCCCTATTCGTTTGAGTGCCCCTATCTACTAGGACTCGTAACACTATAACAATTCTCTCCCTTTTACAAGTTGGTGAGTAGACGTAGCATTTGGAGGTCATGGGAATGCAGGTCGGTTTCCTCCCCCCTCCCCAGGGCTTGAGGGCAGTGATGCCTCCCCCTTCTGACCAAGGTTCTTGTCCGTGTGAATGCCCCGTATGATGAGCTGTCTCACTTTTAGCAACTGTTTAGGGTTCTTGGGGTCCAGGCGAAGTTGGAGTGAGGCGGGGAGCGAGGGTGCTCGGAATCGGAGGAAGAAACGCAGCTCGGGGGTTTTGTTTGCCCCCATCTCTGTGCTCGGCCTGAGGGTTTTCATTTTGGAACTGGGGCCTTTTTAACTGTCTAAGAGAAGAAGACCGTCTGCCTGTCTAAGGTGCCCACAGGATCATGTATGAGGACACGCGATTAAACACATCCATTTTCCTTTCCTTTGTGGCCAAGGTGGATTTCTGGCGTGGCCCAGCCAGGCCCAGCCTCCCGGTGGATATGAGAGTTCCTTTCTCTGAACTGAAAGACGTCAAAGCTTACCTGGGCTCTCACGGCCTTGCTTACAGCGTCATGATAAAGGACATCCAGGTGAGGTCCTGCCCCAGCACCACGGCTAGGGTTTCACCTTCCACGTGCCTTTCTGGTTTGAGCCCAGCCCAGAGGAAAGCAACCCAGGGCTCACAGTGGACAGGTTTCTAGAGTTCCGTCCGCATTCTTGTGGACCTGCTGTAGAAGGAACGACACCTCACACTTCTCAGAGAATATTTAAAATCTAGGACAGAGCCCACGGTCGGGGGCGGGGGGACGTCCTCCTCGTGTGGTAGTAGCAGTCACTTGTGGACGAGTCCTCTTGTGGGGGGATTTGCAGCTCACAGCAGAGGAGGAGACCAGGGAGGAGGGAGACAGGAGCAAGTAGCTCGGGTCTTTCCTGGGCACCCGGGGGAGGCAGCTCTGGAAGAGTCCCTTTGCTTTTCTGACCATCCCTGCCGTCCTGGCTGTCCCACGACACTTGTCCCACCAGGCTCTCGGTACTAGGAGGTACCAGGCTCCTCTCCCAGGCAGGATTCTCCCAGGGGAATAGCTTTGGGAGGGCTGCACACCAGAGTAGGTAGGACAGAGAGAGCCTTCATCCCGGCCCTGCCAGTGTCCCCACCGGCCCTGGTTGGCGCAGCTTACGGTGTCTTTTCTGAACACCGTGACATTTTATTTCTGTTGTTCTGTCTTCAAGGGTATCCCAAGGAGCCCCCTTCCTAAAGCGCTTCTTGTGGGCACCGCGTGCTGGTTAGGCGCCTCTGGCCGCACCCCTCCACAGATGCTGTGGTGCGCCTGCAGGGTCGCATCCCCAGACATTCCTCCCCAGCCACGGCGCGCCGCAGCTACTCTCTGAGGGCTCTGAGTGTGGGAACCCAGTCTCCCGGAGCGCACACACGTGACATCACATGCCAAGGGATAAATGCATCAGGGGCATTCCTTTCCCGCGAACGCACGGGGCTGGGCCACTTAGATCCATGCACAGACCTTTGTCCCTCATCGGGCACATGTGTTTGCTGCTCAGTGCGTAGGGGTGGCCTCTTTCTCTAATTAATCCCCCACAAACCCAAATGGGGAAACTCCCCGCAGACAAGACAGGGTACCACATCAAAAGAAATAGCACTCAATTCTCATTTTTTGCCCACGCGGGCATCTTCAGGTTCGCATTTCCTCGCTTCCGCCCCGCCCTGAAAGCCCGCAGCATTTAGCCAGCAGATGCGAAGAGGTCTCTCAAAATGTTCTGTTGATTTCTGCACATCAGGAGTGGCCCCAGAGGCACCTCTGAGCCTGCCCCCTGGCTCCTCTGGAGCTGTCCTCTTCACGTTCCTCAACCCGTCCTCCCCTGTCGTCCCCAGGCTGGAATCCCTTCGGGGGGCGCTCTTTACTCCCTGTCAGTAGTAGATGCCCTGGACTGTCTGCCCTAACCCAGCCGGGCAGGATTTTCCCCAACACCTCGCTCTGTCTGCAGTGCATCAAGCTCCGGTGTCATGCCCGGCTGGCTTGGAGGAGCTGGGAAGTGAGGCTGCCGTGTTGAGTTGATTTGTGGTGACGAGGGGGAGGGTGTCCAGGAGGAGAGAAGCTCAGAGGTGCTAACAGGAGGGGAAGGCTTTGCACCACTCAGGTTTTTGGCCTCTATGCCATTTGATTGTGGCCTTGCGGGCTAATCTCTTCTACAGATCTTCGGATCTCGCCCTGGCGTTGCGTAGCCTCTCTTGCACGGCGGGCCCTCAACGGTCTCCACAATGACTCTGGTGGCAGGTTCGGAAAGAGTGTGCCCAGACAGAGGCCTTGCTATTAGGTTGGTCTTTGTCTCCAGGGCCCCCTCTCCTGAGCCCCTCAAGGTCCAGGCTCGGGCCTCTTATCTATCTTTATGCCCTAGCGCCTCCCATGGCACCTACTTTCGGTTGGGGCTTAATAAATGTTGGTTGAATTCCCGCAGGATGGAAAGGGAAGAAGTGAGAGATTATGTTTGCTCCGCAGCGCTAGGCTGAGAGGGGCGTGAAGAAGAAACCTTAGTGCCCGACTTCCGGCTTTTAAGCACTGGCCAGGGGTGCTGGAGATTTTTGAGGAAGGGAAGTGTCCCCTGCTCCCCGCCCTGCCCAGTCAGGCGTGCTTGAGGTGGAAGAGCTGGGTTCGTTTGTTCCATCTACTGATATGGAGATACCTACTGTGTGCAAGGTGCAGGAAACACAAAGACAGGAACTCCGGTTCGGTTCCGTATCCAGGGCAGTTAGGTAAGGGGTGGGGAGTGGAGGGGAGCAAAGCAGTGATTACAATGGAGTGGATGAGCTTGCTGATGGTGCTGATGGCGTGCAACTATAGGGCCGAGGACAGAGGCTCTGCAGGAGCTCCTGAGGAAAGTGATGATGCAGTGCGGCTGAAGAGAGCAGAAGCTGAGGGGGACCCGGGAGGGGAAGGGCCCCCCCCCGCCCTGTTGGCAGTGAGGCCCGACCAGATCACAAGGGGCATCCTCTGTTGGGTGAAGAGGTCGAGATTTATCCCGAAAAATCATGGGGGAGCCATGGGAGGGCTCTGACGGGATCAGATTTGCATTTAAGAAAAAAAATCCCTCTGACAGTGACAATGTTGAGCTGGGGACAGGAGCAGGGAGAGACTGACAGGCAGGAGGGTGCTGAGGAAATTGCAGTGGGCCAGGCAAGAAATTATCTGATTCCGAGTGAGCTCTATTTGCATTTAATTTTTCTTCACCTCCCCCTTTTTTCTCAGCCCTTTGGTTTTGGTGTTGTTGTTGTTGTTGTTGTTGTTTTTTTCTCTAGGATGAGTCACCATGGAAAAGCTTCACTTGAGCAATCAGCTCTGTGGATTTTAATGGCTTTTTTCTGATTACAAAATTAATAAATATTCATGTTAGATAATTTGGAAAATAGGGGAAAGCACAACGGAGAACACAAAAATCACCCGGGCTCTGAGCATCTAGAGCAAAATGCAATTTAGTGTAAATATTGCTTGGCCAATTTCCCCCTGTCTACTGGATCATTCTCATTAGCATACAAATGTAGCGTTATTTCTCTTACCCCCCAAAATCCTCTCTCGATCCCGTCCCCCCGTCTCCAGCTATCACCCCATTTCTCGGCTTCCCCGTACAGCACAACTCTTGGAAATACGGGCCATACTTGCCACCTCCATCCTTCTCCGTGGGTGGACTGTCCACCCCTCACTTCACCAAAACTGCCCTTGACATTCGTCACCCACAGCTCCTACGTCCAACTCAGTGGCCAACTTTGAGTGCCTGTTGTTCTTCCACCTTATTTAGCACAGCTGGTTGCTCTCTCGTCTTTGAAACATGTCCTGTCTTGGCTTCCGGGACACTGTCCTCTCCTGGATGTTGTCCCGTCTAACTGGCTCTCCTTTGCATGTCATTTTCCTATTTCCCAGTTCTGTCCTTTGACTTCCCCTGGATCCTCTCATTCAAGATCACGGCGTTGGATACCTTCAGCCTCCTGAATATTCCCATACTTGCATCTCCAGCCAGACTCCTACGCTCACCCTGAACTCCAGACTCGGGTCTCCAACCGCCTCTTCCTCATGTCCACCTGCCTGCCTAACGGGCGTCTCAAATGTCACCGTTCCCAACCGAGCACCCCCCCTCAACGTGCTCCTCCACAGCCCTTCTCCATCTCAGGAAATGACAACGCCATCCTTCCGGTCACTCAGACAAGAAGCCTGGAGTTGTCCTCAACTCCTTTCTCGCATCCCACATTCACCAAATCCCGTCAATTCTCCCTTTAAATTGTATTGTACCAGGGCACCTGGCTGGCTCAGTCGGTTGAGCGTCCAGCTTCATCTCAGGTCGTGATCTCACGGTTCGTGAGTTCGCGTCCTGCTGTCAGCACAGAGCCTGCTTCGGGTCCTCTGTCCCCCTCTCTCTGCCCCTCCCCTGCCCCATCCCCTCTTTCTCAAAAATAAACATTAAAAAAGTAAATAAATAAAATGTATCTTACCATTCTATGCTACCACCTTGGGCCAGCACGCCATCAGCCCCACACCTGGATTGTTCTAAGAGTTTTGTAACTGCTGTCCCTAATTCCATCCTTGCCTCCCTGTTGCCTAGTCTCAAAACAGCATTCAGAGGGGTCCTTTAAAATTATTATTATTATATATTATATCCCACTATGTCACTTCTCTGCTTAAAGCCCTCAATGACTTCTTAACTGAGAGTAAAAGCCCAAGTCCTTAAAATGGCCCTGAAGTACAACACCCTCGTCACTGACTGCTCTCCCCTGGCTCGCTCTGCTCCAGAGACCTGGACCTCTTTACTGTTCCTTGAACTTGCCTGACCCATTCCTGCCCAAGGGCCCTTGATGAGATTCACGTCTCGGGGCCTTTGCACTTACTGGTCCTTGTGAGTAGAATGCCGTTTCTGCAGATACCTGCATGACTTATTCCCTTGCTGCTTTCAAAACCTTGTTCACACGTGAGTCACCCCCCAAATTACGATCGCCCTGCCACCCTCCTCTTGCTCCTCCTCATGGCTACGTGCTAGGCGACACTCCAAGCATTTTACATGTATTAACCCCTCTAAGCCTCACGGGAACCCCTTAAAGAATGTGCTCAAGGGTGTGATAACGTGACCCCCATGTTTGAAGGCCCAGAGAGAGATGAATACTTTGGTAAACTGAGGCCCAGAGAGATTAGTGCCCCGTTAGTGATGGCGTCGAGATTTAACCAGAGGCAGCCTGGCCCCGGGGCCCTGAACTCTTTGCTCCTGAGCCATCTGCTTCCTCCACAGTTGTCACTGTTGTTTGTGTGGGTGGTTTTAACTCTGCCTTTGGGGCAGTGAAGCCACCCGTTCAGCCTTGACCTCTGAGGGGGTCCACGCTAAGAACCCCCGGGTCTGTAGCCACCCACCACGTAGGCACAGACTGCATTTGCTACCAGCCACGCAGCTGCTACTGCAAATGTTGGGCCTGTTAGAGAAGGCCAGGGACACATGAGGAGAGGTGACTGCTGCTGTCACGGAGCGGGGGTGGGGGCGGGGGGGTGGGGAGATGCTCCCCGTTCACCGTCCCCCGGAGCCGTGTCCATTTTACGTCTGCGCGGCTGGAGTTCAGCGGCCGAGTGCTGGTTCCCTTCAGGCGTCAGCTTCGCCCTTCCTGGGCCTCCCGTGGCCTCCTGCCCTCCTCCATCCTGGAGGTGCTGTTCTTTGCTTAATGTTCCCGTCCTTCCTCACCCCTGTCATAAATTAATTCACACCAAGGTATTACTTTCCTTGTCAGGTTATGGCTTCCAGGGAGGCAAATGGCTTGCTTCTGAGCCGTTTCTTTTTTGTCTCTGAGAAGCCTGACAGGGCTGTAATTAGGCTTCCCTGAGCCTGTGGCAAGACTGCGTTCTCAGTTCTCCCCTCTCCCCTCTCGGCCTTGTGAAGGGAGCCAACATCTGTGTATTTTTCAGGCCAGGGTAGATTAGCGTTCTTGGCATTGGGGCCCAGCTGTGAGGGCTGAGCATTCCCAATTTGTGAGCGGGTGTCACATCCATTCACAGGGCTGTGAGGGTGTTTGGAAAGTTATTTGCAGTTTGGTGCCCATTTCCCATTTGCCCCCAAGCCGTTCTGTGGAACAAAGAATGGCCTCCTGGGAGCTGTTTGCTGCTGTGGGTGTCCCTGGGCTGTGGGAAGAGCTTCCCAATTTCTCCTCCCTGTCCTCCACCTTTTCCCACCGCCTCGGGTCCTCCGCCAGTCCCTAGGAAGTTCATCTCGGTGGGACTGGAGGGGGACTTCTGGGTGCACCAGCCCCGGGCTGCCGGCTCCCTGCGGCTGCTCACCACAGCTGGTAGTGCCCGGCCCAAAGTGATGGGCACACACTGGTCACGGTGGGCTGCTGAGATTTCCGTTGGTTTCCTGGGAGAAGACAAGTCCCTTTTGTTAGAGTGTCCCGGGGTGGTGCCTGTGCCAGCAAGGGTCAAGGCTCCTCCAGGCTTCCTTACTTGCCCAGCAATCCCAGCTTTGCCCAAGTGGGAATGTATCCAGCTTAGCTAATTCAGCCAGAAAACATTGCAATCACAATTGCCTAACGTGTGGTCGGTGCTCAAAAAGAAAAGAAAATGAGGCCCAAGCAACGATTTCCAGTCCCATTTTTAAATCTGTGAACTTGAGGGTTGTGAGCAAGCTGACTGGGGCAGCACGGTGAGTGGGCACTGGACAACGGCCTCGTCTGCGGGGATGGTGGTGATGCCTCTTTTCCAGCCCTGGGACTGAAGAGTCCATGGCTGCTACTTTATTTTAGCCATTGGGCCTTTTTGTTTTTGTTTTAGTATTATTTATTCATTAGAAGATTTTACTTATTGAAGCAGTAGAAGCATGCCGCCAAAATATAAAAATAGGGAACATTTAAAAATTGCTTGAAATCATAATCTTTCTATCCTAACAAGCATTGTTTTCATAGTGGTATTTTCTGACATTTTACTGTCTTATTTTTCTATGCTCAGGGTATTGCTTTTTTGTTATTTTTTTCAAATAGTTTTTTAAAATGTTTTACTTTTATTTGTTTTGAGAGAAAGAGAAAGAAAGCAAGTACAAGTTGTGGAGAAGCAGAGAGAGAGAGAGAGAGAGAGAGAGAGAGAGAGAGAGAGAGAATCCCAAGCAGGCTCTGTGCTGTGAGCGCGCAGCCCGACGTGGGGCTCGATCCCATGAACCATGAGATCATGATCTGAGCCAAATTCAAGAGTTGGACTCTCAACTGACTAAGCCACCCAGACACCACATTTTTTTGTTATTTCAGAACACCTTTTAATTGCAAGAAGAGTATGATGGATTTTTCACCTGTTGTTAACATTTTACACATTTTCTTGCCCTCTCTGTACATACACACACATATACATACCTACACACACACACAGATAAACATACAGTTGACCCTTGAACAACCTGGGTTTGAACTGTGTGGATATACATGGATTTTTTTTTTTAATAAATACAGTACAGTACTCTAAATGTATTTTCTCTTTCTTATGATTTTCTTACTAATATTTTCTTTTCTGTAGCTTGTTTTATTGTAAGAATACAATATATAACACATATAACATACAAAATATGTGTTAATTGTCTGTTTATGCTATTGGTAAGGCTTCTGGCCAACAGCAGGCTATTAGTAGTTAGGTTTTTTGGAAGTCAAAAGTTATGTGTGGATTTTCAACTGTGGGAGAGTTGGTGCCCCTAACCCTCTCATTGTTCAAGGGTCAACAGTATATACCTATAGGTATGTATATCTATCTATGTGTGTGTATATATGTTTGTTATTTAGTATTACATATAATACATACATTTATTATTCTTATTCACCTTTAGTTTTGATAGCTAGCCAGCCTTAAGGAACCCAAGGCTAGGAATAGGATGTCTGGGTTCTTACCTCACCTTTGCCCCTTGTTGGCTTTGCCATTAAGTCCCTTCACCTCTCCAATCTGTTTTATCTCTGAAACATGAATAGTGAAGTCCTGCCTTGTCATTTGGTCATCTGACCAGACCAATGGAGACAATGAGGATAAGGATGCCTGGTAAACTGAAAGGCTCTGCCTGAAGCAAGACATCATCAAGACTCCCTTGTGTGACTTTGGGTTGAGGTCTTCTGCTTTCCCAGCACCCTTTGTGGCAGAGAGGCCTAGGCACTTCCCATGCTGCTGGTCAGTGCAGAGTCCTGGGGTGCCTCTATCCCTGGGTGCCAGTGTAAGGGTATAAGCCTGGGGTGAAGGGCACTTGCCCACCTCACTGAATCCCAAGCTGGGAAAAGTGTCCCAGAATGATGGGGGAGGGCAACCCAATCCAACCGTACGCCCTCTCCATGGTCAGTGGGAAGTCCTGCGTGTGGGCAGAGTACCAACTCCAAATGATACCCAGGACATTGCTTTTGGTTCATCCATACTTGTGTTTAAGAGGCAGTTAAGACAGTAAGTAAAAGATTGTTGGCATATTAGTTCTGTAATTATTTGGATCAGCTTGCTCCATAGCTGGTTTCCCAAATGGCCTGGATATCAATTGTGTAGGCTACCCCCCGGGGGTAGAGTAGAGTGGGTCAGGGCGGCCCTCTGCTCCCCCAGGGGGTCAGCTTGAGCCTTGACTCAGCAGTGTTCATAGAGGGCAAAAACAATGTTGGCAATAGATCACGAGCACTCTTCTAAAATACTTTCATATCCCTTATTACATTTTATCCTATGAGCTGGGCAGGGCATACTGCTATCCTAATTTCCATGCTGAGGAAACTAAGACCAAGGCTCCACAGCAAGTTGGTGGCAGACTTGGAATGCAGCTCTCCGGACCCCTCGCCCCGTGCTCATTTGGGAAACGGAGGCATGAACACCAGCTGGCCAAGCAGAATCATCCAGCAACCGGCATCTCCTCCCATTGCGCAGCTCACACTCATGGTGGCTCGTTCTCCTGTGTCGGTGGTGTCTTTGTGCGCGGCCCAGCCGATGCGGGGTTCGGAAGAGGCCTGCCTGGCCCGGTTCTCCCCTTCCCTTCCAGTATGTGCTCTTGTCTCCTAGGTGCTGCTGGATGAGGAGAGAGAAGCCATGGCCAAATCCCGCCGGTTGGAGCGTAGCACCAGCAGCTTTAGTTATGCCTCTTACCACACCCTGGAGGAGGTAGGTCTGCCCAGTTGCGCTCCGGGCTCTCTTGTCCCTTTGGGCCCTCAGGGTCTCCCGACTCAGGCAGAGACTAATGAAAGACTCTGAGGTCCACGGGAGAGTGTGAAATGACTCTTGGGGAGTCTCTGGAGAGCAGAGCAGACACTGGGTGAAGGTCTGTCAGACAGACATCTTCAAACAGGTCCAGAAGCCAGGATCCATATAGGGATAGAGAGAACTCAACAGTACAGCCCAGGGCAGGTCCGGGACTGAGGAAAGGTCTACTAGGCAGAACACTGAGGTAGGGATGCATCACTGGCCAGAGCAGAGCAGGTAGTGGCATCTCCAAATCCAGCACTGTGGCTGGGGACTCAGGGGTCTTGACTTCTCCACAAGCATTTCTGGTGTCAAGTGGCCCCAGCTGTGGGTCCTGGAGCATCGAAGGGACAGGAAGCCAGGCACATTGGAGAGCCATTTTGTAGAATAGAACAGAGTTGCCTCAGTTGGAGACAATTCTTGCTCCCAGTTACAGCCCGCCTTTCTGGACACCCAGCCCAGAAAGAAACTCAAGGCATAGGTTCCATTTTCATGAAAAAGATGCGATGGGATTGATATTGTCCCCTCTGGTATCACTGTCATTACTCTCCCGTTTCACATGGCCTGGAATAGAAGATCCATTTTTTCCCATATGTTTGGTAATTCAATTATGTACATTGAAAGAGTGAGGGAAGGGGTTAATATGGCCTGTCAGTATTTATTGACATCCGAGATAAATAGTCCTGCCTTCAAACAGCTTAGAATCTCTAAGGGCCGAGAAGACCAAAACAGCTGGGTCGGTGGGGTCTGTCAAACGGACTGAATGGGCCAAGAGAGTGGAAGCAAGAGAAACTTCCACCCTGAGAGCCTTGCAGGTTGACCCTGGGGACTGGGTAGGGTGAGGACACTCCTCTTCCAGAAAGAGGCTCAGCTCTGCACAGGGCCAGTTGCCTTCGACACCAGCTCCGCATCTTTGATGTGTGCAATTCTCCCGCTGGGTCCTTTTAGACCCTCAAGGGAGGTGGGACAGCACCGGGAGGGTGGGGTGGGGGAAGGAGGATATCCGGGGAGAGCCTGGGCCCCGCCCCTCCATGCCTCCCTGCCGGTCTGACAAACTTCATTCCTTTCAGATATATAGCTGGATCGACAACTTTGTGGCCGAGCACTCAGATATAGTCTCAAAAATTCGGATTGGCCACAGCTTTGAAAATCGGTCCATTGTTGTCCTGAAGGTAAAAGCGGGCAGTGTTGACCACCAGACTCTACAGTGAGAGCCCCTGGCATAAGACTGAACTCACATAGGGTTCAGGGTGGGAGTTTTAGGGACAGAGAAGATGTGTATACTCCTGCCCTGAGGTGACCCACAGCTTTGGGGCTGTGGTGTTCAGGGACCTACTCTCGTAGGTATGGACAGGTGATGGTGCAGCGACCTGGCAGGTCCTGGGTCAGGAAGTAGGTGGGAGGGTTGCAAAGGAGATGGAATTGCAGGGTGGTGGTCATCACCCTGGTCTTGGGAGGTGAATGTGGGTGAGTCAGCATTCTCCCTATTCCCTCGGTTGCTTCATCTGTGAAATGGGAAGGGAGATAAATAGAGGCCTCATTTACAAATGATTGAGGTCATCTGGCTCAGGCAGCCCCACAGATAGGCCCGAGTCTGTGGGGAGACCTCCCAGCCCTTCACGGGGGCCACTGGAAACAGTTGGAGCAAACTTGACGGCGGCAATGGCCTTGGTCATGAAGAAGGCAGGATAGGTAGGAGTGTGGAGTCGAGCCAAGCCAAAAACAAGTCTTAGTATGTGCCCTAAAGGACCCCCTCAAGGCACTTGACGTCCAGCTCTCAGACAAGACGGCGCTCCAGCTCTCGACAGCCCTGGGGTACTCTTCCAGAGGGCCAAGTGTTCTCATCTAACTTGGGACTTGACCTCTTCATTCCCTGCTTTGATTTCCCCCAGGGGCTGTCCGTGTCCCCTCTTTAATGTGGTCTAGGACCTTGCTACTCAGAGTGGGGTCCTGGCACCTGCAGCAGCACCCCCGGGAGCCCGTTAGAAATGCCCAACCACAGACCCCTCCCCAGACCTACTGACTGAGAATCTGCATTTTCGTAAGATGCCGGGGGATTCGTGTACCCTTTAAAGTTTGAGAAACACTAGTCTCAGACACTTTCAAGCCTGGGAAGCTCTGTGCTTCCAGCTGGATCACCTTGCTTCCCCAGTGCACCGCTGTGTCACCGGGGCTCCCACACGTGTGCACTTCATGGACCCATGCACAAGTCCCTGCATATACAGCCCCTGTCTCGGGACACAGGGCCGCCCCAGGCAGTGCCCATACACCTGGGGCCACCTTCTGGGAGCCTAGGGACAGCTCTGTAGCTGTCTCCGTTCAAACCTGTTGGGGACCCGGTGCTTTTACCCAGTTTAGCACTGGAGGACCTCAGCGCCGGGCCATCTGGATTGACACTGGAATCCACTCCCGGGAGTGGATCACCCATGCCACTGGCATCTGGACCGCCAAGAAGGTCAGCACAGATGATGGGGGTGGGGCTGGGGTGGCGGCTACTCGACTATTTTAGGGCGCCCCTGGTTGCAAGATTGTACTTGGCTTGTTTAAACCTCGGGGGCTCTCTACTCTCCTGTCCTTTGGAACAGCTGCCACGCGCTCTGGCCTTTTGCAGCGCAGCGCCCACATCCACCCTCCGCCTTCTAGTTGTTTAACCTCCAAGCCCACAAAGAATGTATCTGATGGCCTGATGCCACCCCTGCCTGCGGCCACTGGCTGTGCAGAAGTCCTGATCTACCTCAGAGGAGGGCCTGCCCGCGCCTCCCATCCCTCACCCTGTACCCACTCTGCCCTGGCCTGCAGATTGTCACTGAATATGGCAAAGACCGCACGCTGACGAACCTACTGAACGCCATGGACATCTTCATGGAGATCGTCACCAACCCTGATGGGTTTGCGTTTACCCACAGCATGGTCAGGACATTCGGGAGGGAGAGGGTCAGGGGTCAGGGTCAGCTCTGGGGGGCGGGGCGTGCAGGAACGGTCACTGTGGCTTTGGGAAGCTGAGCTGAGGTTCGCTGGGGGCTGGCTCCTCAGGGGCTCCTGGTGGAGAGTCTCACGAAGGCAGGCAGGTGACTCAGGTACTGCAGCTGCGACTCAACCCCTGTCCTGCTGCCCAGGGAAGGCCACTGTTGGTAGCCTGTCCTCGGGCCTCCCCCCACACCACAGCTTTAACCATAGGTGATCTGCAGTCTTGGCCCAGCCTCGTAGCAGCCCCATCCTGCCCTAGACATTCCTTCCTTTTGCCCCTCTCTGTCCCACCAGACACCCCCACCCCTTCCTAGGACAGGATGTCGGAGGCTTCCATCCCTGGGAAAGGGGTGAATGTCCCCCGCCCTGGGCTTTTCAGAACCGCCTGTGGCGGAAGAACAAGTCCACCAGACCTGGAATCTTCTGCATCGGTGTGGATCTTAACAGGAACTGGAAGTCAGGTTTTGGAGGTATGGTAATCTGCTGGACCTGGGGGCAGGGCTGGAGAAGGATGTCTTGGCACGTCTCTCACGCAGTCAGGTTATGTGGACTCATAACCGGGAGAGGCAATGTAGTTAGTTAATGCGAGTGAGTCATGGCAGGAACAGGCAAGCACACGCCTAGGATTGGCTGTGCGATATGGGGAGGGGTTGCACATGCGTGGGCAACGTACGCATCTGCTCCAGCTTCGTGGGAAACGCGGGAAACGGCTCCTTGCTGCAGGGGTCAAATCCTAAATATGGCAGGGAAAGGTACAAGAGAGTCTTCAGGTTGTCCCTTCAGGAGGGACAGGATAGTCTTGCTGGTTGTTCAAACCCTAGAGTTTATATGCCCCCCAGATCTCTCCAGCCCTTCCTTGTAGGGAGCCCACCAAGAGAAAATGCCTTCAAACTCATTTCCCGAGAGTCATGACCTGAAATTTGCCCTCTGGGGAGGCCAGAACAGTAGTTTAAATCTAAAATAAGCCAAGTTCTTATCACTGACACTGTCTTGAGCCTGGTTTTTACTTGCGGCCCAGTTGCTTCGTAATCCTGGGCTGATGGACTGGTGCGTATCTGCAGGGCCGTATTTCTTCCAGGCAGAGGTGGGCAGCTTCCTCTCAAGTTCTTGGTGTTCTTCCTGATTATCACCCTTACCACACCGGGGACGTAGGGATTAGATGGGGAAACTGAGGTCTCCAGAAAGCCTCGGGACTAGTTATGTGGACCCTGGGAATGCAGCGATTTGATGAATGGGATCCTGGGTCTAGCCAAGACAGGTTGCGTGGGCACCCCCTATTCTGGGGGTGTGGTGGGGTCGGAGTTTGGCTCCACAGGAGGCAGTGCCATTGCCGTTGAAAAGCAGATCCGCAGATGGATGGCCAGACCAATGAGACAGAACATTGTAGATCTGCCCATCACTGAAAATCTAGCTTCTTTCAGTCTGTTTTCATTGAAAAATAAGCATCTAAAGCATCCAGAGCAAGGCGCTCAGCCCATGGTGTGGGGGCTTCCTGAGGATCTGGCACTGTGTGTGTAACCACTTGTGTAAGGGAACACAACCGTGTAAAAATGGGTGTTTTCCCCTTCAAATGACCAGCCCCTTTGCCCCAAGTTGCAATCCGCGAGGGCCCCTCAGAACCGGCTGAAGGGAGTACCCATGGACCCTGAGACAGACTGGCTAGCAGAAAGACAAATTACCTTTTAAAGAAAATAACTTTTGTGTGTTTCACCACAGGGGGCTGGAGGAAATCAGTATATATACAATGTAAAAAA